TTCAATTTGGGTNGATCCGNAGGTCATCCGANAAAAACTGGATAATAGGATCGACCGATCCATAGCTGGATCGGTCGATCTGGTGCTATGTTCTGCACTTGCTTCTTTTGCTCGCCAGACGGACCTATCTTCACTAAACCTTTCATAACTTTTGATCGCACCGTTAGAATGACCTCAAATTTCTTCCAAAAGAAAGCTAACTCGATTCCCTAGCATGCAGCCAATTTTCAGCTCGATCCATCGGTGTAAAAATCATCAACAAGTACCCAACTTTTAACCATTTTCTGCATCTTTGCTTCCATTCCTTGCTCCTTTGGTTTTTAGCCTCCAAAGTGCCTATAAATAACTCAAGGACTATGCAAATGCAATTAAATGTAATCTAAAACTCTAAAACTCAACTTATTTTATATGAGACTCAAAATGATGAGAAATATGCAAAATAAAAGTATAATGACTATAAAAGTTAAATAAAATGTATGATAAAGATGCCAAAATATGAATGCATCANTTCNTTGGTACTTTGTTTTTGTANATATCGACGGCTTTTAAACTAAAGTCGTTTTATTATTTTTTGTTTTATTTTTGATGTACTTGATTTTACTAATAGAATTAATCAAACCAAAACATATTTATAAAAACTAAATATGAAGGTTAAAATCGGATTATCATTAAAATAAGTACTAATGGGACAAAATTGAGTTGAAAAAATACTAATGGGACATTTCCTATTTGATTTCGACCCAATTAGCCAAATTTCTCATAAATTATCATCAATTTGTTATCATTTTAGTGAGATACCTTTTAATTCTCTACCAACCCAAAATTTGTTACCCTTATAATTTCAACTAATTAAACTTCACATTACAATTTACAACATTTTAAAAAAGCGTTAAAAAATTCTAAGATGTATTTAGCTACCATTTATCTTCTCCAGCGCACAACACATCAAATAGTGTGACAAAATCTCGCAAACTTACAAAGAAATCGATTTGTAAGAAATGAACAAACTTATCATTTTGAGAACCTGAAATCGACGCCTTTCAGACTGACTTGGTTAGTGTGCGACAAATTTTTATTTATGGACTACAAATGATGCCAAGTGAAAATATGTCATTGGCTAAAAATTTATGGTAATCCTTTTTTTATCTCCGGTTTTAACCTCTTTCTATCCGTGGCGGTTTTCGAACACCAACTCTAACATCACTTTCTGTCCTCCGTAATATCTCATTCATCCCATTAGTTTGGAAAATCTTCGGATTTGCCCCAACATTCGTCAAATCCTAAAAAAAAGGTCCAATCATACAATAACATTAAGGCTCTAAATCATGAAAAGAAAAAGCATAATGGAATCTCGGGTTTAGATCATACCAAATCCAAATGATTCATCGTATCTTCTTCTGATTTCTTGTGATGCACGCCAGAGAACAACAACACATCTGATGAGTCTAGAGAAACTTGTGGCCTAAGAAAGCTTGGTTTGTCTTCGTTTATCGTTAACCCGAAAGTGTTCTTAGCAAAAGCCATGCTCATTCCACTAATGTGGCTCGCAGATCCTGGAGGCTGATTATAAGTTAGCGTCGAAGCTACGTCGTTTTCTTTCCTCTTCTTCGTCCCAGCCCATGCGAACCCGCTTGCCGGAGCCGTGGTGTGAGATAAACTGTTGTACGGAAACTCGCTTCGAGTGGTAACTTGAGATGTCTCTGATGGTGTCTGAAGAATGATTTCTGTCTCGGTTTCCTTCTTCGTCTCCTACAAAAACAATGAACCAAATTACAAAGGACTTCAATAAAAGATAAGAATCTGTCAAATTGGTTGGTAAGTTGCTGAAATTTATACCTGTTGGGTTGGCATTTTGTTGAGATTTGTAGGCTCTTTGATTGTTCTACGTGATTTCCCAGATTTCTTAGGTGCCAAGTTATCTCTTTTCTTAATATTAACTCGTCTCCTGCAAAACGAAGTTTCAATCTCTCAAGTCTCAACAAGCGTAATTACAAATATATCTACAGAGCTAGGATTGATTGATTACCTTCGTTGAAGTTCTTCGCGGTACTTAGCATCCATTTCTTTGTTAGGAGGGTACTTAGGTAACGTTGATGGATCACAAGCGTAAGGTTTTGTGTTAAAGTACTGAAGAACAATGACAAAAACCACAAAAAAAAAAAGACAAAAGTTTATCAGTTTACAATATGATTCCATTTCGAGTAGGGTTAGGGTTTGTTTTCATTAATTTTTTTCACCTCTGACATAAGAGCCGAAGAAGCAGTGCCTCGTTTCTCTGGATCAATAGACAATAAGTTCTCCAGAAGATTAATTGCGGTTTTCGGAAACTCCTCAAATCTTTCTCTCAGACAACCTTCATATTGATGTTGTGGTCTAAACATCTTGGTTTGAGGATGAAGCTTGTTCTTTTCCCAAAACTCTTCATCTGGTGATCCAGAGAGTTTATAGATCTTGTGAAGTTGTTCAATCTACAGAGAATACACATACACAAAGATTCAGAAAAAATAAGTGTTTTTTCGATCTATCGATTTGGTATCTTTTCTCACCTCTGTTCTTCCTTTTAGCAGAGGTCTTCCGGTAAGAATCTCGGCGAAAACACATCCAACGCTCCAAAGATCGACTGATACACTATAACTCGTCGATCCCATTAGAAGTTCCGGTGCACGATACCATAGCGTCACAACTCGGCTCGTTAACTGATTCTTGTTTCTTGGTGTTACAACGTTGGCTAATCCGAAATCAGCTAGCTTTAAAATCCCTTTGTTGTTTACCAAAATGTTTGCGGCTTTAATGTCTCTGTGCATAATCCCTCGTAGATGACAATGTTCTACTCCCCAAAGAAGCTGCTTCATGTAGCATTTGATCTGAAAACAAAAACAAGGGTTATCAGAAAAGAAAAACAGAGTAATTGCAGAATACGTTAGGGTTTTGTATGAATATAATGTGTTTCTTTTCTTGCCTGTGCCTCGGTGAATTTGATGTCAGGAGATGAACATAAGCCTTCGAGATCGTGTTCCATGTAATTGAACACAAAGTACATGCTGTTTGAATTCCGTGACGCGATGATCCCTTCGAGTTTCATGATGTTTGGATGATCTAATCTTCTCAAAATCATAATTTCTCTCGCTATGAATCTTATGTTTTCAGTTTCAAAATTTTGGACACGAATTTTCTTTAAAGCCATAACTCGTCCCGTCGATACCTGACAAGCCCGGAACACGTTGCTATACGTCCCTTGCCCGATCTAAGATTGCAAGAAAATCTCGATAAGGTTGTTTCTTGTCTTGCAAGAAATGTACTGATCTATGATTAGGTTTAGGGAATTATGGCTATTTTACCTTCTCTCTTTTCTCGAAGTCCTCGGCGCGTAATGGGACCCACCCATGAACGGCCTCCGGTGCAGCGGAGCTGAGCCAGGAGGGCCAACCAGCCGCCACCTGCTCAGCCTCTACATTGCCGTGAGACAAGCCTGATCTCAAGCTAACTCCGGTCGTCCTCGATCGTGGAGCATCATCGTCATTATTTCGATGTTTTTTCGGAGATGAGTTGATGACACGGCGGTGAGAAGGCGGAGCGGGAAGAACATGGCGGTTGTTGTGGTGGTTTTGGGGATGACTTCGGTGGACGGAGTTGTCTGAACGGCGGCGGATAGGGCGAGGAGCACCAGCCGGAGAAGAATGCTTGGATTGGAAGCAACCCATAATATGAAAGTAATTGTCAAAGGAGAGGTTCCGGGCGGCGTGAGTATCGACCCGGGTCGGGTAAACGGGTCCAACGCAGGGAGGACAATCCCCGCATTAGACCATAGAGAAACGAAAATAAAGGAGAAAAAAAACAAAAATTACAAGGAAAATAGTTTTGGATGTAAAATAGAGAGAAACCAAATCGAGAGAGAGATAATTACGGAGAATTAGACAATCCTCCTTAAACTTTGGATGAGAAAGACAAAGGAAAAACAAATCTTTTTTATCTTTGTAATTTAAAATAGATTTTTTTATCTTATACAATGAGGAAAAAAAAATAAGACAAAAATTTACTAACTTTTTTTGAAGGAAACAAGAAAAACTGCAATGAATAAATAATCTATATCATGGTACATTCGTATTATCAATCAATGGTT